TGGGACACAGCAAGGACAGCCAATCAGCCCCCCAATCAGCACAGGACCACTCAGAGGAGACAGGTTGGGAATGCAGAATTGCAGGGGGTGCAGTTTGATGAAAAAAAACTCAGGCCCAGGTCAGAGTTTCTGTACAATCCAGGTGCACCGGGTCTCTGGAGAGCTAGAAGTACCTGTAAGGTCAACCATTAAACCCTGAGCTGCACAAAAAGCCTTCCCTAGGGAAACAGCAGCAAAGCAGCAATTTAGCTCAACCACAGAGTTCAAGAACTGGTTCCCACAGGAAGTTCCCCCATTTTAGAAGTAAGCAAAAGATGAAAAATTAGTTCCAGCCCTGGCACACCACCAGTGCATTGGGGCCTACCTGGGGACATGAAGCATGGAGATGGGGACAGGACCCCCACTCACACCCACTCACACAGCCAGTGCCTTGGGGCCCACCTGGGAACCCAAGGCTTCGAGCCAGGAACTGGACCCCACTCCCACATCGAGGCATGCCACCAGAACCTCGGGGCCCACTCAAGTACCTGAGCCATGGATAACCATAACCAGGCATATAGTGCCAGCACCTTGGGGCCCACCCAGGGACCCAGGGTATGGATCTGGGAACCAGACGCCCTCCCACAACCAGGCACACCGTGCCAGCACCTCAGGGACTGCCTGGGTACCCGAGGCATGGAGAAGGGGACTGGGCCCCCCCACTCCCACAACCATGCACACCACGCCAGCACCTCAGGGCCCACCCAGGAACCTGAGGTGTGGAGGCGAGGACCCAAGGCATGAAGATGGGGACCAGACACTCCCCACAACCAGGCACTCCACCAGCACCAAGGAGTATACCAAAAACATCACCTCCATGTGGGTGGCACACCACAGCCACTAAAATAACCATGGCTACTGCAAAATCAGCTGGATGCCACAACCACCCCAGAGATGGTCCGCTAGCCCCTGGAGTGCACTGACACATGGAAAGTCACCAACAGACATAAAGAAAGGAGGAGGATGTCTCTCTCCACAAAGCCCATTCCAGAGTTACAGAGGAAGCATCTGTTCTATAATAATATTGGGGGACCTGAACACACCTGTCAGCCCTGAACAGATCATCTAGGCAACAAATCAACAAAGTAACCATTATTCTTTCAGAAGGAGAGAAGAAAGCTAGGGTCATTATAGGGGGGAGGGGGGAGGGAGAGGGGGATGGAGAGAGATTGGACAAGGGGCATAAAGAATAATTACAATTTGTAACAATATATATGCTAGTGATATTGATTTGATCAACACAGAATCCCCAAAATATGTACGATCAATTATGATTAAATTAAGAAAAAAAACATGAGCCATTAAAGTTTTCAAAACTGTCAGTTTTAATGACACAAGTCAAGAA